TGTAGCATGATAGCCAGTGGGACAAATGGCAAATGAAACCATTACTTGAAATTGTTCCAGGATAAGTCCTAGAGTCCGGATAAGTGCAGTAATTTAACTCTCAATACATTTAATTTTAAAAAATTAAAAATTTGGTGAGGAAGATTTGCCCTGAGCTAACATCCATTGCCCATCTTCCTCCTCTTTTGCTTAAGGAAGATTTCCCCTGTGCTAATATCTCTTCCAGTCTTCCCCCATTTTGTATGTGGGATGCTGCCACAGCATGGCTGATGAGCGGAGTAGGTCTGCGGCCAGGATCCAAACCTGCGAACCCTGGTCCACCGAAATGGAGCATGCAGAACTTTAACTACTCCGCCACAGGGCTGGCCCCTCAATGCATTTAATTTTTAAAATTAGAAAATGTAATTTATATTTTTTATCAAAGTAATTCTTGCACAGTGAAAGTCAAGTTGCGCAGAAGGGCTCCTCCTTGCCACCACCTCTCGCCACCTGCAGCGCCTCCCATAGATTCTGTGTTAGTGCCTCTGATGGGGACCTACGTGTCTCTGAGTAAGGCACTTAGACCACTATTTCTAGACTCATTGATTTTAAATGTGAACCGTTGACCTCCTGCTAAGACAGATGAGGAGTTGGCTCGTTGTCTCCACTTGCTATACCTCTCATGCCCTCTCTTCAGTATTTTTGTACCCCTATTTGTAATTTTAAACCAACGTTTCAGTCTCTACATTTGCTCTTTCCATTTCCAGTCATATCTCTTGCCACCCCTCTTTGTAAGATGAGCCATGGCTGCCTCTGCCCTTCGCTTCTCCTTTTCTCTCCACCATCTATAAAGCCGCGCCTTTACTTTCACGTTGTCAAATCAGAATATTTGCCTCCTGTTTTGTAACTGCCATTAAGTTATATGTGCTATAGCTAAAGATCGATTCTAATAGTTGAAAAACCAAAAGACCATTTATGTTACACTGACTTCGTAAGTGCACAGGGCCAAGAGGACGCCATCAGTACGTTTCCTTTCTCTTCTCCCAGTGCCATGACCCCATGCCCTTCAAAGAAAACTTGTCCAGAGTCAAATTCAAGAGGAATTCTCTGCACTATACTGTTTCAGTGGCTCAAGGCACTTTTTAACTAACTTCATATTTAAGCTCATCTACCCTAGAAAATCTGTTTTTACTATTTAATCCCTACATGGCTTGTTGACTTTATTTCCTTTCTTTTTGGCCTTTTTTTTGAGGCAGACTGGCCCTGAGCTAACATCTGTTGCCAATCTTCTCTTTTTGCTTGAGGAAGTTGTTGTTGAGCTAACATCTGTGCCAGTCTTCCTCTGTTTTGTATGTGGGACGCCGCCTCAGCATGGCTTGATGAGCAGGGCATGGGGTCTGTACCTGGGATCCGAACCCATGAAGCCTGGGCCGCCGAAGCGGAGTGCACCAACTTAACCACGATGCCACCAGGCCAGCCCCTTAATCTCCTTTCTTTACCACCTGTTCACTCAGAGTCAATAACAACAACAACACGAGTTGAGCACTGTCAACATCCAGGCCCTGTGCTGGATGCAGGGAAGGAGAGAGGCTGGGCAGGAGCTTCCACATGAGGGTCCTGTAAGGGGATCCTACAGATGTGGCCATTTCCTGGCCAGATTGTACTGTGGCCTCCTACACAGCTTGTGGGGCTGGGGATTGGTGAACAGATTCAGACACTGAGTGATAAGTTACAGTATGAAGTGATGGATTTATCCATGCTGAACAACGTGCTTGTTTAGTCACTGGGGCCTCTTCCTCCTCTCTCCCCCCACAGGACTTCAAGATGAATCAAGCACATTGAAAAGCAGCTTAGTAACTGTGACTGACTGGAGTGACTCTTCAGATGTGTAGCTGTCATCCCATGTGTCAGAAGATCCTTCCAGATGCCCACAGTATTTCACGATCACAGTATTTCCGTAATCTGCCTACAGGAGTCTAACATTCCTGCCTTGCAGTATTTCCCACAGTGACAAGGAAGATGATTCAAAGAAAAAGGGTCGCTATAGTGGCACCCAGTACAGTATTGAAAAACAAATTGTCAGCAGTATCTTGAAGTATATAAAGGTGTTTAAAACTTGTGCTGCTTAAAAATAAGTGTCATTGACGTCATAAAAAGTTTCTTCTTCAGAATGGTACTCTAATGTTTAAGTGTATTTTTTTCAACTAATTTTTAAGTGAATTTTTTTAAAACTTATAGCAAGTTTTGGTTTGAATTAAAACTCTTCTTTTTGTATCTTTCTTATGTACGTTGTCACATTGGAAGTGTTTTATTATACAATTCTATTAGTATCCTTAAAGCTGAATTAGTGAAATCAGTGAAATCTTAAGAGTATATTGCTTATTTTTCATATAGAAGTAAGTTTAGAATTACAGAAATATAGCTAGGCCCATGTTAAATACATTTTCCGAAGTACCTTGACCATGTGCAGCTTTGAGCCATTGTAAGCATGTTGTTATTAAACAATTATTTTAGAATTTTAAATACTACTTCTGCACATAATCTTTACCTTGGATATTTTATGAATAGAATGTAGCTATTTTAAATGTCGATTTAACAGAATATGAAAAGATCAAGTCCTTACTGAATTCATATGTGTATGTAGTTTTTTTCACTCTTTTTAAACGCTCAACCCATATTATAAAATACCTCAAAACTAATTTAGTTCTGTTCTTAACAATGACGTTGTCAACAGTCAAAAAGTTCATATAAACTGTTTTTTGCATTTTTTTATACTTTGTGGTACTACCTGTACGATTTCCCCAAAAAGTAACATTAACTAAATGGTTTGTTAGGTTTTAGATATCTCTTCATTTTGTCAGCCTTTCAAGTAAAGCTTCCATTACATCATTGTGACTGTGGCTGAGTTATTAGAGGTGATTTCTGGGTTAAACTTACCTCGTTAGGGGATTTAAGCTTGCCTGGGTAGCTATGCCTTATAACACGCTGATCAAAAAGTTACAACTAATTTTTTATCTGTTTCTCTCCCACCAGGCTCGTTTTTACTTGTAGTCCACTCTCATCATCTTTTAAAAACTCCCCAGAGGGGCCGTTTTACGCATTTGCTCACTTTAAGTTTGTAAAAGCTTTATTTAATAAACTCCCAGTCACATTTTCACCTGGTAGGACAGAGACAAGCAAAGCTACAAAACGCACCGCGCCTAAGAAGGCGCCCGGCCGCTGCTCTCAGCCAGCCACGTATTCAGCAGATCCTGACTGAGCTACTTGGGTTTATTCTGGGTTTTTTTAATGTGCATTATTAGTTCATTTAATTAGAACAACTTTGAGGCGTAGTTATCATTATACTCCTTGTCATAAAGATGTGAGAAACTGAGTTAATAAATCACCTGCCAAAAGCCAGACAACCAGAAAGTGACCAGAGCAGGCTTCAAACCGGGCCTCAGTTCCTGAGTTCCGTGTCTGCCACTTATTAGGTCCTGAACAGAAAGGGCTGGGGAAATGGGATGAACTTCTGCTAAGTACACCCAATATTTAAATTAAGTCGGTATGTCTGTGTCGTAAAAGCCAATCCTCTAACTCATCTGTCTAGTCCTGTCCTTTTGTCCTGCCAGATTTGGTTTGTTCGTTTTTCTCAGGACCACTGCCCTGTATTTCCCCTCACTGATGCACAGCTGATAGGTTTCTGGCCACCACAGAGCTTTTCTGTATTCTCACCCCTTACTCTCCCCAAATTCTTCAGGAACCAGAATAGTTCAGTACCGTCTAAATAGTACCTTCACCAGCACAGCCCTGAAATAAAAAATTTGTTTTAAACACACACATAAAACCCTGCCCCCTAGCACTGGCCTCTAGCACCTAACCTCCCTTCATGGCTTTCAGTCCATTTGTATTCCCGGAAAAGATATTTTAAGAATTGTCATGGTCTGGAATATATATATATATATAAATAAATATATATATATAGGTTTTTTTGGTAACAAACTTGTTTATTTCCTTTTCTTTCCATTGAGCACCTCCAAACAATGTGGTTTTCCCTTTTAAGTCTTTCATCCTTCAGGAAAATGTTATATTCATCCAAGCTGTGATTAGTATTGGAAACTGTCTTGCTCGGATATGATTACACAGATACCAATTCTTATCCATAGCTTGAAACTATATATTTTACCCTGGCCTGCCTCAGTGCAAAGTCCTGGTTTTGTCACTCACTGTGGCAAGTTACTTAAACTCTGCTTTCATTTCCGCCTCTGTCAGTTCAGGACCCTAATGGTCCTCACCTCAGAGGGCGGTTGTGAGAATGAAGTGGGTTAGGGCATGTAACGTGTTTAGAACATAGATATCGTGTGTAACTGAGAGAATGATTGCCTTTACGGGCATATGGTGAAAGAGCTGGCTCTAGGAATAAATCATTTTTTGTTCAGAGGTCACTGGAGCAATTTACATGTCTTGAAAAATGGGAAGTCTCTCCATTGCCCAGTTCCACACACAGGACCGAAGAGCCACACTGGAACTTGGCCCACTGGCTCTGAGTGAGGCAGGTATCACGCAGGCTCCGGGACTTCCTTCGTTGGCTCCAAAGTCAGCCATGACCAATGTCTCTAGCTCGGCTCTCGTTAACGCTCCACCCCAGAATCTGCTCTCTGTATCAGAGAAGCCTAAGTAGTTATTGAAGATGGATGTGCCAGATAAAGGGCAATAACGTCTTGGCCCCATTAGCCCTTCCTCGAGCCGTGGTGAATTTACCCTTATGACAGACAGGTGTAAGAGACTAGAAATCAATTCTGTGCAGCCAGTAACACGTCCGTTCAACCCAAACATCTTCTGAGGAATAGTCTCAGATTTCCCCCATACTGTTTACAAGACAGCACTCCTTATATACCTCCTGTTTAATATATGGAGGAAAAGAAATAAGGAATGGGGACAAAGATTGCAATGTTTGAATGATTAAGAAGGCTATCTTATGAATACTTCTTGAAACTTTGGTGCTAAATACATGTTCCATAAATGTATAAAATATATACAAATCCTGTAAATAACCTGTTTATTTTTTTATAGAAAGCCACAACAGAAAATGATTAGTATATAACTGTAAGAACATTTACATCCATACAATCAAAAAATTCTTCAAATTCATCTTTTAAAAACACTTCGAGTGTTAATTATTGGAGGACCTTGATGGGATCATTTTGTGAACAGTTCACTTTTATAACAAACTCAAGACACAGCTTGTACAGGTGCTCTCTTCAGACATAAGCATTTTTATCAAACTGTTTTGAAGGGTTTGTGGTTTTAAAATCTCCTTCTCCGCCATGATACTTTGTCCGGGAAGACATGACAGATGTGGCCCCATTGTATGCGTATCCCATTCTGAAAGGCAAAACACAGTTTGGAAGATTCTATTTTATACATAGGGCAAACGAAAATGGGAAGAAACTGTTTTCCCCCGATTTCTGTCATAGCTAAGTTTAAGTCTTTCCCTCATCACTTGTAGCTTTCTTCCTGCCTCTCTCTCACCCCAAGAAATACTTCAGTGTCATTTCTAAACAGTTGGTGTGACTCTCGCCCCAAGAAATACCTCAGTGTCATTTCTAAACAGTTGGTGTGACAAAGAGAATGTCTGCAGCAGAAACACGGCTTGTTCACTTGTCAATTATTCTCCTTTAAAACTCATCTTCCTCGAACCCAGGAGACCCCAGTGACCTTCAGAAGCAGTTTCTGCTCATGTGAAAATTATATGAGGCCTAACTGAACAATATGCCCGTGAAGCTAGACCCATATTTCTACTTACAGAAATAGCTTTGGAATGTAAGAATGATGAGCTCTGTTTTTTAATTAGCTATAATTAACTATTCTGTTGAATATAATATTTACTATATTTAACATTATATTTACTACATATTCCTAACCTTTCCCAATACTGGGTTTTTGAAGTTTCTAAGAACCATATGAACTATCTATAATTTGTCCCACATGTCATTACTTAGAATAGTATTGTACTTTTTAACGGGTTATTTTTGTCTCTTTTTCATACCTGGGTGTTTTGTTGTTGTCAGATATTGAAAAGCAAAATATGATACCACCAATTATGCAGAGTGAGGCTCCCGCCCATCCAATGAACAGAGCAGCTCCTAATTCATACCTGTGAGGAAGTATTACACAAGTATTATGGCTTACTTATTTGGGGAGTAAATAGTATTTAACACTACTAGCCAACATTTACTAAATGCTCATTTAAATTTTTGCTATTGGAGCTTGTAGAGAAGTAATAACACCTTGTATCTATATAATGCTTTAAACTTTCCTCAAAGTATTTCTATAGCTATCGCTTGATTATATCTCCCCAAAAGGAAGCTGAAGGGATCCCTGCAGGCAAAGTCAGTGCAAAGCCAGCTGAAGCCTGGGCCTCCAGGTCAGGGAGCATCCTTCCTCTGAGTTCTGCCTGAAGCTCACAAAGCTTTCCATCCATTTATTCTGTTGCAAAGGGTAAATTATTTAGGCAGGCTGCAGTTAGAAAAAGTAAGGTTGCCTTTGCTTTCATTTTAGTTTAATTCAGTAAATGTTTATTAAGCACCTGCTGTGTGCAAATCATGGTGGGAGGTGCTGAAGGACGGCAGAATATGCCACTCCAAACATGCCACTTTGCCAGAAGGATGATTTTGAGCTGAAGGCAAGTGAGAAAAAGCAGATACAAGAAAAGCTCTCTACGCTTGTATTTGCCTAAAAGCAGGACATAAACTTGTAAAGGTGTCCCCTTCTCTACCAGGAAGGGCAGACGTTAATCACCAGAGACAACTCTAGACCCTAATCAGCCCACAGAGGACACCAGAGGAATCTACATTGCTAACTAGGCTTTATGTCCCATTAGTTCCCCTATATATCTGCCTTCCCACAATTTGCCACCCTAGAAACTAAAGTCCTTTCCTTTGTCTTGTCACTTCTCTACAAATTTATTGTCCTTCTCTTAAGATGCTATGTGAGCCCCAGTTCTAACCGCCCCTCTGAGTTACTCATCACTGGGTACTCCCATGTGTATGTGTGATGCACATGTTAATAAACTCTCTTTTTCTCCTGTTCATCTGTCTTTTGTCAGTCTAATTTACAGGGTCCCAGCAGAGAAGCTAGGAGAGTGGAGGGAAAAAAAGTTGTTTTTCCTCCTCTGCAGTGCCCATAAAAGGTCAGTCACAGATACAACATCATCTTGCTTATCACTACAATCTAGTGGCAGATCAATAAAAAATAACCTTCATTTAGTGATAGATTGCTAGTAAGTGTCTCCTAGATGGCAGGCCACCGTACTAGGCTGATGACTGGAGCAGATGCAAAGACAAGACAGCCCCTGCCTTGGGGAGGTCAGCATACAAAGGTACAAGTAATGCTGCTAAGAATAAAAAACAAAATCAGAGTGGAGGGCTAGAGGAAACCCTTTCAGGGGAGGTGAGCAGAGAAACAAATAAGGAATGAGAAACATATACCAAGATCCTAGGGGCCATGCGTTCTCATACTTGCCTAGCATCTTCCTGAAGAATAGTTTTGGTTTTTTTTAATAAATAAGTGATTCTCACTTTTTTGGCCCATAGACCTCCATTGCGAGGCAAAAACAGATGGATGCCATTCCCTCCCTAATGGTGCTTTTCATTGTACAATGAAGTTGGAGTGGGAAGGATCTGTTTGATCATACAGAATCCACAGAGGAGCCAAGAGAGGAAAATAGGAGGTGAGGGTAAGAAAGGGAAAGAGGGGCCAAGGTTGGCTCCCTCCCCGGCCTGCCCCCCTCTGCCAGGTGCAGGGCCAGGGCTCTGCTTAGGTATCAGGGCCACACGGCGCTGGGGCAGCGGCTGCTGTGAGCCACCTGTGCCTGTCCTGAGCTTTGCCTCATCCTTTCTACATGCATGTTACTATGTTACTATGTCTGAACTCCGGTCTGGGCATGGGCAGCCTTTCTGATGTGGTTTGAGTCCCAGCAGTGGTAGTGTAACTGCGTGGCCCCAGTCACTAGCTAGCAGGAGCAGAAAGCAACATTTACAGATAAGGGACTTATAGTCCCCTCGCCTATTTTCAGATCTGGCCACCGAGGCAATTTCCTGGTGTGCACTTGCAATTGGGATGGGTGCTGTACAGAGTACATAAGCCCTGCAATCCCCTGTTTCTCACTCTTGGGAAATTTCCTGGGGAATCGGGATGACAGCTGAAGCAAGGAATAACTGCAACAGAACAACTGGGAGCAAGCACCTCATCCCGCACTGCAGGGCTGACTAGGCTCTGGGAATCGAGAAACTTCCCCAGCTGCTCCCATCAGAGGCAATGGCAGAAACAGAAGGTCGGCGTAAGTGGGGGGAAAAACAACTTCCATCCGCACCAAAAAACAGCCCAAAAGAGGACTGAAGAGAGAAGTGCACAGGTGAAAGAGAAAAGAGCTGGCCAGATCAGGAGTGTTACACTGGTAGCTTTACAAAAGATACCTTCATTAAATACCATGTTATACATCTAAAAAGGATATCCTGTATTTCCACAATCAGCCCGCTTTTATGGTGTTTGAACGAGATTATGCACATAGGACAAACACAGGGCCTGCCAAGTTGCGGGTGCGCGTCACTTGACCTCTTTAGAACATCTGGAAGTCGTGCAGTCAGTTGGCCTCACATTCATCCATTGTCATCCTTTTACTGCGAAGACAACTAAAGGAACGAGCTGACTGAAGAATTCTACTTGGAGGACCTTATTATAGGATTACAATTTCATGACACTTCCTGTTTTTCCCCCTGGTGTTGAGGCTATCTTCTCTCCTGAAACTGTGCCTTAGTATTACTCTTAGTAATACTGAGTCTGAGATTTTTCCTAAAATATTTAGCTTTCTAAAATAGGATGCCAGTGCCAGCTACCATGGTTGATTAAAAATAAGTCTCTAATTCATAGTGGTCAGTTGGAGGTGAAGGTGATAGAAATCACAAACCACAGCTCGGCACTAGGGTTTCGTTTAAAGGAACATACAACACACGTGCACAGTGTGGTTACAGATGAGGATAAATTACCCAGGCAGCTCCAGTGTCGGGAATTATGTCTTTATATTCATTTAAGCATCTTAAAACTTTCTGAAGGGATTTAGGAATCATGAATTTGGCTTATATTAAAAACTGGTTCACTTATTCCTGTTCTAAATATATTTTAATTTTCTTTACGTCACTAAATATAGACTCTATTCCAAGGAAAATATCATTTCCATTTGAATTCCTTGTGAATTTTGTCAGACACAGACATTTAACAAATAGTACTGGTTCAGGGTTGAAGTCTTTAAGAGACTCCACGTCTACACCAATAACTTTTAACAATTTGGATGTAAGGGCTTTTGTGACTTAATTCTTTCTCTTCCAGAAACAACTTCTTCATTCTGTTGAAAGACACGTATAGCAGACTAACTCCACAGCAACTTGAACACACACCGATCAGTGTGCGTGATCTGGCAAAAAACGGACCTGTATTACTGAGAGACAGGATTGAGAGGGAGCAATGCAATATCCACCCAGATTTGTTCCAAGGCACACCTCCTGATTGGGAAACTTCATCTCTGCCTAGAAGTCTTTCTTCATTTTTGGCAATGCTAAGAAGCTGACTTCAACACCTCAGAAGATTATCCAAATTTCAGATGATCTGTTGCAAGTCTTTCTTCTGTTTACAACACCCTCTGAACCCAGACCAGCTTTCCCACTCAGGGCGTGGCCTCTTTATGGAGCTGTCACAATCACCAACATTTCTTCATTATTCTGAAAGGCTGATCTATGATCATCAGGTGGAGGACAGAACTTCGTTTATAGATCAGAACATTGTTTTGGGAGCATCTCTCAGACATTCTCTCAGTTGGTAAGACTAATCACAAGCTGCCTACATGACACTGCTGGTGGGAATGCAAACTGGTGCAGTCACTATGAGAAATAGCATGGAAATTTCTCAAAAAACTAAAAATAGAACTACCATATGACCCAGCTATACTATGACTGGGTATTTAGCCAAAAAACTTGAAATCAGTAATTCAAAGAGACTTATGTATCCCTATGTTCACTGCAGTATTACTCACAATAGCCAAGATGTAGAAGCAACCCAAGTGCCCATCAACTGATGAATGGATAAAGAATATATGATATATATATATATACACAACAGAATACAACTCAGCCATAAAAAAGACAAAATTGTCCAATTTGCAACATGGACGGACCTTGAGGGTATTATGTTAAGCAAAATAAGCCAGACAGAGAAAGACAAACACCGCATGATTTCATTCATATACGGAAGACAAACATATGGACAAAGAGAACAGATTAGTGGTTACCAGAGGGGAAGGGGGTTGGGGGTGGGAATAAGGGGTAAAGGGGCACATATACATGGAGACTGACAAATAAAAATATACACTGGAGATTTCACAATGTTATAAACTATTATGACCTCAATAAAATAATAAAAAACAACAAAAAACCCTGCCTGTATGACTTTAATTCACTTATGTAATTGAATAATTGAATGCAAATTTAGTAAATAAATAATAGGGAAAAATGTACTTCTATACAGAGACATTAAAATAGATTTAATCACCCAAAATCTTCCCTGAAAAGAACCGTAAGGATCTAAGGCATTAAAGTGTACTCTGAACTACTGGGTGAAGTTCTTCTCATCCACCTGTGCCTGGGACTCCAGGCTGTGGCTCACACCTCTCACTTCATCTTGAGAGAGACAAGGCTTGAACCCCGTTGGTGGCCTGATTCTGATGCTTCACCTCATATGTCAGTCCTGTAACCTTCACAGTAAATGCTGAGGGAATGGATTGAGGAACACCTCATTTTCACCTCCCATTTTTGTCTTCCTTGCACCCAAAGCCCTGTTATGACTTGACTTGCCATCCACAGGGAGCTGGTGTAGCCTGCCCTGGTCACCCTCGCAGAAAAGACAGGCCAGGCACTGTGCTCAGTCATGGGTTTCAGGGTGAATGAGACGCAGCTCTGTTCTCAAGGATCTTAAAGGCTAGTGGGGATAGTCCGACATTAAGCGAATAAATATAAAGCATAATGAAACAATGATAGAGTCAGAAGAGCATGTTTTTGCAAAGTAAACATCACCTCTTCTCCCAGATCCATATTGATATGGGTCAAG